AAGTTAATAGCGTTATTAAAGATTGTGAATAAGTGGACAACTTTTGGAGTTAACTTTCTTCCCCAACCCAAAATCGAAAACCAGAGACCGCTGGTTCAATCCCCAGTAGAGTCACCAGACTGATGACACGCGATTTTTCCATGAATGAAGGAAAGAATCTGATTGAACGGGCTTGGTTAATTTTATTTACTAAATTAGTTTTCTTTATTTAACCCATTTTTTAATCCTCGAAAAATGGTCCTCTTACTTTGGTAAGAGTTTTATTTTTTTTAAGAGTCACCACCCTTATTAAGAAAAATTCTCGAATTAGTCAATTCTTTGGAATCAACTAATTTGGTTTTAAATCAAATAAAAAGTCCAAGAGTTAGGTACGATATGGGAAGGTGTTAGAATCTGCAAATAATTCAACAGTCCAAGAGTTAGGTACGAGTATGAGGAAGGTGTTTATGCACCGTTATACAACCCGGCATGTTAAAACTACGGAGTCTCTTCTCTCGGTGTTGTCTAATTAATTCATCAGACTACTCAACTAATATACCATTTTAACAACTAAAAATTGAGAATGTATTAATACCCCTAAGTTGATGCTAATGCCTCTCTTTGGGAAAGCATATCATATCAAGACCATTATTTATATGAAAGGGCAATTCGAATTAGTCAATTCTTTGGAATCAACTAATTTGGTTTTAAATCAAATAAAAAGTCCAAGAGTTAGGTACGATATGGGAAGGTGTTAGGCACCTATAACGCCGGATTAAACTGGCCTTCTCGTTGTCTATTAATTCACAATTACTCAATAATACCATTAAATAAAAATTGAGATGTAAAACCCTTTTGATGCAATTTTTTGGAAAGCATATCAATCAAGCATTTTAATGAAACACAACACATAAAAGTAAACATCCAAAGAAGGGGGTGAGGAGAAAAGAATACATACCACACCTAAAGTACATTCTACCCATTGCCCTCCAAATTTCACAAATCCCATAACTATTAAACAAGCAATAAATGAGACTCATTAAGGTCTTACATTTTGCCATAATATAACATTAAAGCAAAGTAAAATAAAACATCCAATTAATACAAACACAATATACAAATCATTCACATAAACAATAAATTCAATTAAGCATTATAAAACTATTTAGATAAATGTTACAAATTATAGAAAACCTGATATGTATAACTTCTATAATCCGCTAAGTGTATATATATACACCACTTTATGATTCATTATATAGGTTAGACATGTTATGCAGGCCAACCTATGATATGACCCATTTGAATTCGTGTCACATGCGGATTATCCATTTATGATATGAATCTATTTAAACACAATTCTACCCCGCTATGTTAGGTGAGATGAATCATGTTTAAGTGCTATGACCTATTTTGTATCCCTACTAAAAATGTTGAGTTATAAAGATAATTGATTTCTTTTATAGAAATAAAGACCATTTTGACTTCTGAACTTATTTAATTGGATAAAAAATATTAGAATTCACATTTTCAGTTAATTTAATACTTGAACATGCTGGTAAATTTAATATTTTGGATCTATTTAACTCATGATTTTTCGTTATACTTACAATGCGAGAATCTTTATATAAATATTTATTAAAACTATAGCTAGAATCGACTGTATAATTTATTAAAAAATTAATTAAATATGAAATAAAAAAAATGATACATAAAGTATCCTGTATCCCTTGGCGGATAATTTTGAGTTCATAAATATATAATCATTTGATCATTTTAAGACTGAACTTTATTATTGAGTTATTGCATATAAAATCGATGCATTTCTTAGATCGAACATATTATGGTTATACTGCGTGTTTTGTAAATTTACTATATTAGAAGAAATTATATTTTTCTAAATTTTAAACTTTTATTTAGAAGTGTTAGAAAAAGTTTTGATCTGAGTGTTTTAAATGCAAGGGGTAAAAGTCAATCCTATTAAATTGAATCAATTCATTAATTTGTAAAAAGTCAAATCAAAATATTTAACGGTTAAATTGAGTTAAATTGACTTGAAAAGTGAAATCTAATCTTTTCAATTATTTTAAATAAATATATAAAACTTGAAGCATATTGGGTGACATGACACAATTCTAAAATTTTGGTTTGTTTAGTTAGATTTTTTATTTTTTTTAATTAAAGAAAATAGAATATAATATCATTTATAAATATCGATGAAGTGAAACTAGTATCATTAATAATATTAATAATATTTATAATTTTTAAAAATTAATATAAAATTAATAACATCATTAATATTTTGAAAATGTTTCATTTTTTAATAAGTAATAAAATTTTAATTTTTTAATAATTAATGATCAATAAAAGTCATTAATATTATTTTAAATATCTATAGAAAGAAAAAAAGGTCTCGAGAAGTCACCAGAAGAGCCTCATTTATAAAATGATGTTCGATGAAGTTGGGAAATACCTCTCAGTATCATTAATAGATATTAGAAAAATATATATATATAAATTTGAATAAAGTTAGTTAAAAATCTTAAGTATAAAAATTAAAATCAAACAGTCGATTGAGGAATACTTTTAGAAGAAATGTTTCCATTTTGGCTTTCTCACACTATAGTCAATATAAATATGATTTATTAATTCTTCTAGGTTTATAATTAGATTGATCAATAAAAGTCATATAATATTATTTTAAATATCTATATAAGTGTATAAAGAAATTAAAGAAATTAGTAATATTGATTTTTTCTAAGAGTTTTCCCAAAAGTTAAATTTTAAATTTTTGTTATTAAAGTTACTACATACCTATTTTTGGCGACTTAATTTGATAGTATTGTTAATGACGAAATGCTGATATATTATTGTCATACATAAATAAACTCTTCTATTTTTTTAACTTGACCTGATTAGTGAAGCATAAAGGGATGCCATAAATATAATGATATTTTTAGTGGTGGACAAACAAATAATTATTAATAATTGTATGGCACAGAGTTGATCCCTTTAAAATGGGTTGTATTGTAATGGCATGGTCAATTAGCAAACCTTTTGAAATTCCTTTTTATATAATTAGTTAAATCATTAATAGGATTATACACAATATTATATTCAAATAAATAAATGAGAGAAAATAATAGTGGTAGTGAAAGATTCTCTTGCCACTCAACAAAGGAGTGGAGCAGAGGAATGTCTAATATATACAGAGTATATACCACCATTTTACCACTATATATTCCGTTGTTGTATCAAGAATGTTCTGAAGAACCCTTTTAACCGATCTATGTTAATCGCCAGTTATTCCATTTACCGGTTTGTCAAGACAGTGAATGGTATCATAAGAGAAAAAGTCATGGTTCTAAGAATTACATATTTATTTTTCAAAAAAATTAATTATGAGTTTAAATAGAAATAATTGGCAATTTATTTACACCTTTTCAATATAATTTCTATTTTTAACGAATGCCAGTATGCCAAACTCATATAGGAAATAACAATTAAGAACTCTATCAAATTTAAATAATAAAAGAAATAATTATCGTGTTATTTTGTCTAATGCTATAATTAAATAAATTATTTAGAAAATTTATATGAAAAAGACTGGTTATATACTAATTATAGAAGGTGTAGAATTCTGTAAAACGTTAATAGTTAGACAGAAAAAATATTTAAAAGAAAATGATTAAAAGTAATTAATTTTTTTATTAATATCTATTTGGCCTTTTTATTTTATTCATTTTATTATTTTTTATAATTTATTTTTTTAACTTAAATATTAGTGAAGCATATATAATGATATTTTTAGTTTTACAATTATTATTAAAATTTATGATCCTTAATGTTTATTTAAAATAGCAAACTTTGAAATTCCTTTTTATAATAATTAGTTAAATTAATAATACCATTTATATTCAAATAATAAAAAATTGAATATCTGCTCAAAAGTGGACATGAATGATTCATTGAACCACCGATTTAAATTTTTTAAGATGTTGAACCTGAACCGATCTTTAAATCGCCAGTTCCATTACGGTTTTCAGCTGTGTATCATAAAAATTCGGTTCTAAGATTACATATTTATTTCAAAAAAATTAATATGAGTTTAAAAAATATTGGCAAATTTTATTTTAAATAATTTTTAGAATGCCCAAACTCATATAGAAATACAATTAATTAATTTTAAATAATAAAGAAATAAGTTATCGTTTTATTTTGTCTAAATGCTATTAATTAAATAAATTATTAGAAAATTTTAAAAAATTTTTTAAATAATGTAATTTTTAACTAAGTAAAAATTTTAAAAGAAAAACATTAAACTCCTATTTGTATCATTTTTCACTTTTTTTTTTATCATTTTACCATTTTAGATTTTCAACTTTTCAAGTAAAGTGTATTCCCAAAAAAAAAAAAAACGCTTAATTAAAGTATATTATGTAGTAAAAGGTTATTTAGACTTTTAGATGCCTATAGAATAGACTAAATAATTACAATTTTAAAAATAAAAATATAAAATTTTTGGTTTAAATCGGAGCGAAACCACGAGCCCTATGCCGGTTCAAATTCAGATTTTAACATTCACATAAATCTTAACAGACCCTTGAATCGACATCTCCGATTTAAAACTTTAAATCTATGATTTTAATCCAGTTTTAGTTCATCTGTAGTTCAAATTGAACTCAGGGCCATGCTTACTCAAAAAACGCATTACATGACTAATTTTAAATAAGTTTAGAGGTGTTAAAGTCGCTAAATTGACTTCTATTTTTTTGTAATTGTTAATATTCTTTTAAACAAATAATCCTCTATCTTAGTGGTAATGGATGATGCCGTCTTTCGGGTTCAATTGTTGACCATTCAATCATTTAAATATAATTTGTATTCTTCCTTTCCTTCAACGGGCTTCATAATGGGCTTTTATAATGGACTGGGCTTGAAAGTGTATAATAATATTATTGTATAGCAACAAATGAAAAAAAAAATCTTTTAAAATAATAAAAATTAATATCAACCTTTCGTCTGTATAAGAAGAGGTTCCAAAATATGGCGGGATTTTTCCAGGCTCTGGGAAATATAACAGCCACAAATCCAACGAGCACTCTGTTTCTCCTTCCATACGCCATCATTGGTTGGTTGTCTCCTCAGTCCTCATGGCTTGTAAGCTGTTATTCACTCCAATTCCTGAATTTCCTTTTACACATGGAAGATTATCGAAATTGCCACTGAATAATTCTTCTGGGTATTGCTCTTTCAAGTGCCTTTCAAGCTCCAAAAGAGTAGTTCCATCTTCCTCATTAGTTGTTCGTGCTGTGAAAGAAGAAGTGATTCAGTCACCAAATTCAGAGTCTACCCATGATTCTATAGCTGCTACTCCTTCCTCTTCCAAGCTCGTTCTTGTTGTTGGTGGCTCTGGTGGTGTTGGTAAGCTAAGCTCTATCTATCTCTTGCCCTTTTTTCTCATACCCAAAATAGAGTCTTTTTATTGATCAAGATTCTGGGTCTCACTAATTAAAATTAAGTGTTATGTAATTTGTTGCCATGATTGTGATAGTGGAAATGCTGTGGAAAAAAGAAGAAGAAATTGAGAAATTGTTACATTTGTGTTTCTTGTGATTATTTTGATTGGTGGTGATGATCCTTACTTCCTTAGCGTGAATTTACAAATGAATTCCTTATGGATCTATTTGGATGGTTTGTCATTTGAAGTTATTGAGTATTTGGATTTGTGTTTTTCAAGGGTAAAATCATAGAGAATCAACATAATGTCAAATCCAATTGCTTAATCATTTGGATCACATGAATGAAAATTTGCTTTTAATAAAATTTATTTGTGAATGAATTATAATGTTTGTAACCGTAATCCTTAAATTTTGAATTCTTTTTCACACTTAGTTCAAACCAAACCATTCCATAGAACTAATGAGATAGGATTCCAAATGAATTGATTTATAACAAAAATGAAATGTATAAATTTACAAATGAATTCTATAAAATTTTATGGGATTCATTTGTAGGAAAATGCTTAAAGAATTTATGATTACAACCATGCTTAAAGAATTTATGATTATGATTGACAAATATGGTGAAATCCACAAGTTGCTTTGTCTTCCATTTTGGGAAAGGATGTGATGCCTTAATTGATTAGAATGTGTCGTTTTGCATTTGTATAGAGTTTGAGAGGAATCTATATTAGACACGTATCCAGTAAGATACATGGAAATATTTCCATATGATATAAAACAACTATTATCACTAAACATTCCTTTGATGGCAATTAGAATCAGCATATTGACTATGAGTTCTGAGGGTTTAGGAGTTTTTCTATTTTTGGACCTGTAATTGCTGATGATATATGACAATTTTTGCATATTATTGTAATAGAAAACAAACTTTCATATCAGAAGATTGAAGGGTATATATAACTTATGATCCATCTTTTATCTCTGGATTACACTTAATGCCAATAAGATGTCTGGCATTACTACAGAGAACAGTATGTCTGATAAAAATGACATCAGAAATTGACTTCAATTAAAGATTTTTCCTTGCTTCTTGATCCTGCATGTATTTACTTGACAGAAAAACCATGGTCGTGAAACTAACCTTTCATGATCAATTTGATTTCTTTTGTATTATCCTGCAATGGGCTTCACAGTTTTTCTAAAGCTATATGTAATGGTTGCCGCCAATTTTCATGTTGGAGTTCTAATGTGTAACTTTTTCTGTATTGTAGATTGATTTCTTCTTCTTCTTCCCTACTTCGTGGAAAATTAATATGTCTATCCCTTTTCAGGGCAGTTGGTAGTGGCATCATTGCTTGACCGGAATATCAGGTCACGCTTGTTGCTACGAGATCCTGAGAAAGCAACAACACTGTTTGGCAAACAAGACGAGGATAAGCTGAAAGTAACCTTTTCTTGGCTTATGCACACTACATATTGTTACTATACCTAAAAAATAAAGTAGCACAAACAAATTTTTTGCTTTAAAATTCTTTTCTTTCCTCAGGACATAGAACATAATCATAAAGGGCTATTAAAACTTGCTAGGTATATAAGGGGGACACTCGGAACCCGGAGGATCTAGATCCATCAATATTCGAGGTTTGTATATCTTCTTATTCATGCATCTGTCCTTTTAACTTTTTTTCTGAAGGCTGAAAAGAGAACTTGGGTATATGGCCTATCTAGTTACTTATGCAATATGAATTTTCTTGTAGGGAATCACACATGTGATATGCTGCACAGGAACAACAGCCTTTCCTTCGAAGCGATGGGATGGAGATAACACACCAGAAAGAGTAGGTCAGAAGTTTCTTTCCTTGTAATTAATAAAATTTCAGGATGAAATCCATCTGTAGCTTCAGTTTTATCAGCAGAAAATTACCTCTTTAGTGATGCTCAACATGATGAAACTGAATTTTGTGTGACATCCAGTCAGTTTAATCTACCAGGTCTACAGATTCCTGAAAAAGAAAAAGAAAAAGAAACCGTTTTTTTCTATACAGCTTAAGTACTGTAACCAAAGGAAGTCCGGATTGTCTTCGAGGCCATTAAAGATAGAATCATCTGTATGTGACGCTCTACTTATAGTGTTCTTAATCTTTTCTGTATGCGTAGTTAGTATTGTAGGTACCTGCTCGGTATTCATGTCTCCCAGTCAGTTATCCGAGAGTTTGACCGGCGAAATACATTCGTAGGAAAAAGGAGGAAAGAACTACATAAGAAATAAAGTAGGTACATATCCCTATTTCAGGGGGCGCGCAAGTTAAGGTTAAGTGGCATCATTGCTTGACGCCGGAATATCAGGGTCACGCTTTTGCTACGAAAATCCGTGAGAAGGAAAAAGGAGACAGACAAAACACTGAAGTGTCTAGAGCCAAGACAACCACCCGCGTCATCACGCTCGTTAAGCAATAGACCAGATAGTAATGAATTCCTTGGCTTGAGATTTAATTAAGAAGGCAATTCACTTAAAAAAGAAGCACCGACGAATACCACTTTAGCATGATGTGATATGATGCGGCTTTAAATTAGCCTCAAATACATGTGGCCATGAAGTTATAGAGAAAAGGCTTATCACCAAAAAAAGAACCATGAAAATGTCTCCTCTCGTCCTTTTAAAAATTGATGTCGTATCCTGTCACTTAGAGGGACATAATGAATATGAAATGTAAATTCGAGCTTATAAACAGGAGCTGATTTATAAATACGGTTATGGCATAAATGAGAGCTATAATATCACATTGTACGTGGTGATCACTCCCGATGGACAAATCTCGTGGATGGATCCATTCTCTTCATCAGAATGCCATAGAAAGGCAACTCAATATTCGAGGTTTGTAATCTTATCTGCGGTCAATTTATCATTTGCAATATTCAGTCACTTTCGTTTTAATCTTTATTGTGTCTGAATTAATCTGATAAGCGATAACTGAAAATAAAAAGAGACCAAACATGATGGGTCATATAATTAGTGGCCTCATCATACGCCTTACTTATGCAGATATGAATTTTCTTGTAGGGAATCACACATGTGATATGCTGCACAGGACAACAGCCTTTCCTTCGAAGACGACTTAAAGCTAGTGGTTTAGAATACGACAGAAATAAACACACCAGGTACAAAAAGGTGAGCTACTTCTGCGACAGGATTCAAGAAAGGGGTTTAAGCCTTCGCATTGGTTATGCATATGATACGAATTTAGAAACTAATTAACCAGGAGATTTCAAGCAATGCTCATATTATGGCCTCGAATCCTGACACTAAATGTTCCCTATCCGGAGTCCTGTGGTTAGAGTCCAGTGCAAGGAACCAAAGTTATTCCTGCAAATTATTAGAGGTGGAAGAAATATGAAACCTCCCACAGTGAAGAAGTGAAACTTGAATTTTGTGTGACATCCCCAGTCAGTGAGTAAATCTTACCAAGGATGGCAATACGATATTGCACTCCGAGAAAAGCAGAAAGTGAGAAACAGAAAGAAAGGAATTATCACATAAAGATAAGAATTCTACAAACTACTAAGAAGCCATAGTAGTATAAGATGCACTTAAAATGCTTGCTTATCCTGTGATACTGACATCTCAATGCAATGTGGATGGGGTCACGTGGTCAGGAATGTACATTAATATATGAGGGTCAATTATAGCGACAAATGAATAGCTGGACCTACTCGGAAAGGTGATTATCTATTCTTAAAAGCTACTACTCTTCAGGCTTATATACAGGAGTTGTCGGCAGATCAATAATAGTAATTAGCTAGCGATGTTCAAGTGATGTGATAGATGAAGTGATAGCAAGAATGCTGAACCGTGAGGTATCTTTAATTTAGAACTTTCGATGTGAAAAAGAAAAAGAAAAAGAAACATAAAAAAATCAAAAGCCATAAAAGATCTTAAACCTTCATGTGGAATAGATTCTGCAAATTGATGGGGTCATTGGCCAATGAATGGCTTGGATCATTTAAAAGCTTACTTCACTTTGGAGTGTGAGTAATATAGAGAGATGCAGATAATAAGAAAATGCTGAACCTAGATCATAAATTGTGCCTACACAATCATCAGAGTAATTGGAATAATGGCATATGCATTAATGTAACTAATATTGTTTTTTTTTTTTTTTTCTTTTTCTTTTTTGATAATGATAATAACAGTAATATCTATACACCCCTTTGAAAGGCTCCTGTCTAATTTGAGGTGAAGAATCCCTGTATTAAGTACCTTTTCTTTTTGGTATTCTGAGCATCTATTTCCATGTAAACAAGTCAAAGATTGTGGGACCAACTGATCCGAGTATAAACCCATATTGATTTGGTTCTTTGATGTTGTGACTTTGGTACTTAAGTTCTAATTGTACATCCATAAATGAGGCTGTTCTGGAGAAAAGCTGAAACTGTTTGTTAATATCTCCGGTTATTTGCTGTCCTGTGGATTCTACCTGATAATTATTGTTATTTCATTATAATAAACCCGTTGAGGAACTGCTTTACATTAATTTGTGTAAACTATTTTGTGGCTTCCATTCATGAAGATATATGAATGCATTCATGCAGAAAATGTGCACATTTAATTCCATTAACTCTTTTATTTTCTCTAAAGATTGGGAGGGGGTGAGAAATCTCGTCTCTGCATTGCCTTCATCATTGAAGAGAATCGTTCTTGTTTCATCAGTTGGTGTAACCAAGTTCGATGAGTTGCCATGGAGGTGAGATCTATTTAGTTTTCCATTGAGCCTAGCCTATAGCTTGATTTTGGTTTGAGATCAACAAAACAAAATTGCTGATCGTACTGCCAATGAATGCACCAGAAATATCTACTTTAGATGGTGAATTTAATATGCACATTACTGTAGGAAAAATGAAAGAAAACACTGGTTATGTTCATAATCACTCTTTCTTTCTCTTTGGTGTGGACAAAATCCGATGCTTTGCTCATTAGATTTGACAGTTTCTTTACACTTTTAAAATGGAAGGAAATAGGAGTTGGGAAAATTAGTCTCAGTTTCTTTACAGTTTCTTTACACTTTTAAGGACACATGAATAGGTTGCAACAAAAGGATATTAATTTGTTTTTCTGAAAGTGTTTTCTCAATTGAGAATCACTTTTATGAAATGATTTGGGTCTTTTTATGCTTTAGGAGGAGATATATGCCTGGAACCTATGATAGCTTATGAATGTAACTACTCTGAATTTGAAAGACACATATACGTGCTGGCTTGGACCTGACTTCTGCTTATTGAAGCATTTGGTTATCAATTTTAATCATTAAAAAAAATCAATATATGTGTTGAATCATGAAATACAGAGACACAACTTTGCGCCTTTCTGATTCTATATTTTGCCACTAATTTCCCTTTGTTTGTCTTTATCAACCCCTTGAAGTTCCTCTTAAAAAGAAGCAAATGATATAATATTCTACACTTCTGTGTGATCGTACTGAATTTATTCGTTTTGAAATTTTTCTTTGCAGCATTATGAATCTTTTTGGTGTTCTTAAGTACAAGAAGATGGGGGAGGATTTTGTTCGCCAGTCTGGTCTTCCATTTACCATTATTAGGTGTGAGATGATAACTCAATTTTTCTGATCTTGGGATATTAACAATTCAGTGTAGTAACTAGTAGAGAACAATTTTCACTATGCAATTGCACATTATTTCATGTATGTTTACAGCACATTTCTATGTCTCAGAGCTGGTAGATTAACTGATGGACCTTACACATCATATGATCTGAACACCTTGCTCAAAGCTACTGCTGGGCAACGGCGTGCAGTTCTTATTGATCAAGGTACAATTTTAAAATTTTGGTTCCCAGTGAAAATTTAATAAAGTGAACTTTCTATCTTTAGTAGGGTGTGCTACACTCCACGCAGCCACTTCACCAGTTTTTTGAACATCAAATTTATCATTGAATTTCAGTGATAAACGGGAAATAAATTCAACAAATATAAGAACATCTTTCCCATCTCTATTCTCTTAACAGTTTTTATGTTTGTGTTCTCAGGCGATAAGCTTGTTGGAGAGGTAAGCAGACTCGTAGTCGCAGAAGCTTGCATTCAGGCATTGGATATAGAATCTACTGAAGGTCAAATTTATGAAATTAACTCTGTTGAGGTAATAAAAATATTTGAATGCTCAATAAATATAACCATTAATTGTTGGAAACTTTCACACGCATGGACATACAAACAAATATAAACAGTCAAAAATACACAACCAATTTGCCCACGTCCATCGAGCTTTGCGATTTCGTTTACAATAGACAGAGAAATATATAGATTAAGGTTCCTTAGCCATTTACCCTTCCACCTTACTGAGGCCTGTAGATTTTCAGTAATTCTTAGATAATGAGCCACACACACACACACACACACATATTTCAGTTCAACTTTTGAATTAGTTATTGTAAAGCTTTTGAGTAATTGCTTCATTTTGCTGAACTAAGATTTGCATTTGTGCAGGGCGACGGCCCTGGAAGCGATCCCCAGAAATGGAGAGATCTATTCAGAGCTGCCCAAACCCAATGACAGAATGTTATCCTATTCATTGAAAAATTAGTATAAAGTGCTATATCGCAATATAAATTGTGTACAGTTAATTAAAGTTGCTAAGCTTTGAAACATGCTTAATATATTTTCACATTTTTAGTTTATGTTGCATGGAAACGGAAATGTGGAAATGATAGGGAATATCACGGGGAACTGTATTTATACAGCGAATAAAAAAGAAAATAAAATTCAAAGAAATTAATTGGAAGCCATTTTATTGACAGAAATGAACAAAGAAAGAAGTATAGAGCCCTAAACAAATTTGACCGAATAATAAATAAATGTTGGTAATTATTTAAGCTTGTGATCCTGATTTTTCATCAGCATCACCTTTATCTCCATCTCCTACAATTTTCTTCCAGAACCAATGGTTTTGAAAGAGAAGGTATACCTCTTCTATTGGTACTTGCTTTGTTTCTGGCAAGAGGAAGAAGATGAAAGCAGTCATGATCACCATCAATCCGGCAAACAGCAAGAAAATCCCATACCGGAGGTGACAGAGAGAGACGAGGAAACATTGAGCTATCAAAGCAGTGAAGATCATATTAACACAGACAACTATACTCTGTCCAGCTGATCTTGTCTCTAATGGAAAGAGTTCACTTGGAACTAGCCAACCCAGTGGACCCCAAGACCTTCCAAAAGCCAGCACAAATAAGCAAAGTGCAACTACTAAGAAAATGCCAATTCCTTTTGGAAGGGTTTGTCCTTGTCCGAACTTGAGGGCTAAAGTTACACCTGTAGCAACCTGCAAATCAAGAAAATACACATTCAAAGCCCAGAAGATATGCATGCAAACTCGAACAAAAGATTTTGAAGTAGTAGGTTTAAGGTAGCTATACCATACAGACGAACATTTCAAAACCAGCTTCAAGAAAGAAAGCTCTTCTGCCAAATTTATCTACGAAAGCCATTGACATAAGAGCACCAACAACCAGAGCTCCACTTGTTATAACAGATGAATATAGAGATGCACCAGAACCAAAACCCAAGCTTTGAAAAAACACAGGAGCATAGAAAAGAATGGAATTATTTCCTGTCAATTGTTGAAACATTGGAATTCCTATAGCTCCTATTACCAATTGAGGCCTATTTTTCCTTCTGAAAAGATTCCTGAAAGGATGTTTTATTGCTCGAGCTTCATTACTTGCATCCATAAGATCAGCAAATTCAGCATCGATGTTCTTAGTACCTCTGACTTTCTGTAATACTTGTTTGGCTTCTTCTAATCTCCCTTGTTCTACGAGGCTGTTTGGTGTCTCAGGAAGGAAAAGGCCACCAATAAACATTAGTGTTGCTGGAACTGTAGCTAAACCAAGAGATAATCTCCATCCCCATGGATGGATTTTTTCAGTTCCATAATTTATCAGAGTCGCTATCAGAATTCCTAAGCAGGTTGTAAGCTGAAACAGTTGGTTAACCGCTCCTCGGATTTTTGCTGGAGCCATTTCTGAGAGATATAAAGGAACTGCCTGCAACATTAATTACAAACATTCAATAAAATTATTACACCAAAATTAACTAATTGGACAAATTTGAAGCAAATGATTCCTAGCCCAATGACAAGGGTGATGCTGCTATCACAAGAGGTGAGATGCTAGGTGAGACTCCCCGTAATGCTCTCCGCCATCCCCAGGCTGGTATGCAGGACCGAACTTTAAGTGAACTAGGTTGCGGGCATCATGCTCTAATAAGAAGAGATGATGTCTCCATAGAAAAAGAGCTCTATGGGCAGTACAGGGCAAACGCAGTTCTACGTGGGTGAAAGTTTCAGTATAGGCAGTTCTACGAAGTCCTGAATACCTCAAAGGCCTTGAGCCTAGACTTGAATGTGGCAAGTTGAGCCTTTATAATCAGATACTATGTTAAGAACCAGGGTCGCAGGTCCGGTTAGGAACAATGGGGTGGGCTTTTTGGCCCTTATGGGTTAGGTTGCCCTTAACGGGCAGATTATATAATATTTCTTTTATCATAGTAATTTAAAATTAATTATTACCTGGTTGCTGAAGCCAATGCCTACTCCAAGAAGTACTCTTCCGATGATTAGCATCCAAATGTTCACAGCAGCTGCATTAAGAGTTGCACCCAGAAAGAAACTAATAGATCCCACAATAATGCTTCCTTTCCTGCCTTTATTTCTCGTTACATGGGATGCTCCAAAAGTGGAAATGAGGGCTGCAAAATACAATGATGATGTAAAAAGTGTTAGAATCTGATTGTCATACTTGCAGTAATCTGTCTCATTGAGATGCTTTTGTTTTCTCCTGTACACTTTCGGAAAGAAATGCTTCAAGAAATCATCCATGGAAGTTACTCCACCTGAAATTAAACCAATCCAAGATTAATACATATTAGTGCAGACTTAGTTATGAACCGAGTGAAATGAAAGTGCGTAGGCCCCAACTTGTATCTCACCAGATACACCAAGATCATACCCAAAAAGTGATCCTCCAAGTGCTGCAACAACACAAGCAAATATGAAATAACCAGTAATTCTATACTCATAAAGATGAGCTCTTTTTAGATTTCCATCACTTGTAAAACCCCCTCCAGCCATCTCTTTTGATCGAGCCTTTCTCACTATAATCTCCTCTTAATCTTTCACTGCTAGCTTCAGGTTATATGGTGATCAGGGTCTTCAAGTAATAGTTAATTGATAAACATCAACAAAATGAATCTTAACTCCTCCTCCACATATATACTATGGTTTATTTTGGGTTTTTTCAACTATAAATGAGAGATTAACGTATGCAAAATCAGGAAAGAAGTGATAAAAAAGATTTAGATATTATCTTAAGCAATATAAATAAGATTTTTTATATTTTGGAATTTGATCCAATTTAATTAACCATGAGATGTGGATAAGGATATATTAGCAATCTGACTAGATCCTTACGTTCTAAAATATTAAAAACTAAAAATTATTAATTAATTTGAATTCAGTTCTGTTCTTTTATTTACTTTTGAATCGTTTATTTATTAATAATTTTGAAAGATTAGTTCAATCTAAATTGAATTATTTGATTGGAAAATGAAAGCCAATTATCTAACTTAAAAAAAAAAAATTTGTAACTGAAATTTATTGTTCTCATTTTGCAGGGAAGGGTTAGCAAATTGAATTTTTATAACCTTTTGACTAAGGTGAACTCTCATTTAGCTAGTTGGAAAATTAATTTCCTGTCTTTTACGGGCCAAATAACTTTAGTTAAGTCAATTTTAATAGCCTTGCCGAATCACATTATTCAAACAATTTATCTTTTCATTAGGATATTCATGGGTGAAGTGGGATATTATTTCTCCTTTTTTAGCTCAAGATACCACGACAAGAAAATAATTTTTTACCGATAAAATACCCAAAAAAAAAATATCGTTATTTATCATTGTTTTGAAAATCGGATCTGACCGATTGGTTTAACCGAAAGCCGGACTGTGGTCTGGACTGGATTGTATAAAAAACTGCAAGTCAAAAAAACCGGCCTGAACCAATAAATACCGAATGAAAATCGGCTAAAAATCAATGAACTGAGTCAGTTTAAAATTGGTTCAATTCAAAATCTGAATTTTTCTATAAAATGTGGGCATTTTTTAAAATTTGGGCCTCTTAAGAATTGAACCCACTGATTTTTTTTTTTTTTTTTTTTTTTTAAATTTGGGCCTCTTAAGAATTGAACGCCACACTGATTTTTTTTTTTTTTTGTTTTTAGACCTATTTATTTATCTATCTATATATATAATCATGAAAAAAAAAAAATCAAACAGCTTAATTTGCACTTTGTTCTTCAGGTATTTCTATTTTTCTTTTTTTATAAATTTTCTCATTTTCTAATTGATTTTTAAACACTACCTTTTCTATATTTAATCTAATATATACAATATTTAAAATTTTAAATAATTGATACTTTAAAATTTTTTGAATTTTGAAATTAAAACTTTTAAAATTTTTGATTTTTTTTCTTATTTATATCTATCTACGTGTACCTATATCTATTTATATATACCTCAGTTCGAATAATTTTTTTTCAAAGTGGTTTTCTCTTTTTTTCTATTGCTTTTCAATTCTCTGAGTTTTGATTATTACTTTATTTATTTCTTTCTTTATATATATGTATGTTCAATTCAAACATGTCATTGCCTTCTTCTTCGATTGAGATAATGTTAACTCTTTGATCTTTTTTTCTTTTTAAGATTTTTTTTAAACTTTTTGTGTAATTTTTTATGGGGTTTTTTTTTTTTTTTTTTTTTAAATCTCAACATTCTCTTTTTTTTTTTTTTTTTGCATAACATTCTCCTCTTTAATCTTATTTCTTTAATAATATTTTCTTTGTTATGTCACCAATCATGTGTGTAAATGTAGGTATGAAAAATATTATATTGATGGAGATGAAAATGAAGGAAAAACTAACTACAAATTCATTTATGTATTCTTTTATATTTATTATATTTTTAGCAAATTTTAGATAACTGTAAATTGTAAATTTTTTTCATTCATTGCTTGTGTCATGATCCAAAATCGTGGATCGGACTAGCACTAGAGCCCAGGTAAGCTTAAGGTCTCCGAGGCCCGTAATAGGCCTAACTCACGTGAATCTATTTCTTATCGATCGACTTTAGGAACAATAAGCCCATGTTATGACGTTATTAAACCATTCTATCAATATCTCTGGCCATCTTCAATATTTCAAATAATTCATAGCTCGAATCTGCATATATTTTTATTGTACAATTCACGTCATTCATAATATGGGCCAACAGGTCCATCCATAACCTTTAGAGAGACAATTAGAAAATAATCCATAGGTTTACTGACCAGCACACTACTAATTTTTACAAAATAAAATGTAGAGCAAAACATTCTAACTGCGGAGCCTAGTAAATGGACGCGAATCCATTCATACACACAATATTGTATATTTAAACATTATCAAAAGATGGAAATTACTATTGTAACTCTGCGAAGAAGGATGCGAGCTTATCTGGATCTGCAATATGTCTACCTCCTAGGAAAATTTTAAGGGAAAGGAGTGAGTTTCACAAACTAAATGAATAATAATAAATAATACATAATCCAAACAGTCACGCAAAATACTTTTCAAATTTATACAGTGAACACCCGTTCAATCAAGCGCATGTCACAACATCAGAATCCATAAATAATATCACCTTCAAGGAATCACATCAAATGGAAATTGGTCAGTGGTGTTACCAAAACCCCTTAAATATATCATCAAAATAGACCACAACAAACTTGCCTAAAAAAGCACGTAAAACATGGTTCATTAATCACATGAAAGTGTCAGTGCATTAGTCAAACCAAATGGCATAACAATCCACTCATATAAGTCATATTTAGTCTTAAAGGCAGTTTTCCATTCATCACCTAATTTGATGATATCCACTCATTAAATCAATTTTTGAAAAGTATTTACTACCATGCAGTTCATCTAACATATCATCTAGCCTAGGAATTGAGTTCAGTCTAACAATTCATCTAGTCCTAGAATTGCGAGGCGATACTTACACTGTGATCTTGTTGAAGCTCGGCAGTCAACACCACATCCTCCAGAGCCAATCCTCTTAGGCACATGAGTACAGAAACTGCACAGTGGGGCTCATTATCTCTCCCTCACAAACCCTTAGACAACAGGTCATCAAACCCCTCACGCCACCTGAGCGCTGAACTGCACATGGGCTCATACTCTCCCTCACAAAACCCTTAGACAATAGGTCATCAACTTGGCGCTGCAACTCCTTAGTCTCCATGGGGTTGCTCCTACAAGTTGGCTTGTTAGGAATTGTGGCTCCAAGCACGAAGTCAATCTGGTGCTCAATGCCTCTTAGGGGTGGCAGTCCACTAGGAATTTCTTCAAGAAACACATCAAAAAACTCCTACAATAAAGAAACAAAACTAGAAGGCAAAGAAGAAGTGTTAATGTTAGTCAAATTAAGCAAAATCTCCTTAAACCGAATCATCAAGATCGGCCTATCCTCACTAACATTGCTTCAGATCTCTCTATCTCCCACATACATGTTTTGTTTCTTTCTTCCTTCTCTTGGTTTTTCACTCACCAATGGGCCATTCTACTGTTTCTTTTTACTCTTGGCCTCTTTTCCCTTTGTTTCATCATTTTTCTTTTCTCCCTCCCCATGAATAAAATTCTGCCCCTCTTTCTCTAATATCTTCTTTTGGTCCAAATAGACCTCTTATGGTGTCAAAGGAGCAAGAAACACATGCTTACCCAAATAGGCAAAGGAGAACTGGTTGGTGTACCCATCATGCTGGACTTGCCTGTCAAATTGCCATGGGCGGCCTAGAATATGCCCAGCTAGCATAGGCACTACATCATAGGTGACCTCATCCTTGTACCACCCAATGGAGAATGGCACCTTCACTTGCTTATTTACTCTCACAGAACCTGTATCATTTAGCCATTGAAGTTTATATGGCCTTGGGTGCTTGTCACATAAGATTATATATATGGCTCGGAGTGTTGTCACATTACAAACCATTTGCACCATTGCTCAACTAGCTACAATTGTGCAACTTCCGACTACTCGATACAAGGCATACCTTTGTCAGACAAGCTCTCCGTATGGGAGATGTTCTCTCGCTGTTCTAGGCTACTCTTCTTTGACTTGGCATGTTTTGAGACTTTGCCTTGCGTAACTTATAATTTGACCATTCAGAGTTGCTAAAATCTTCGTCAGGCCTCGTCATATCATTGCATCCTCAAGTTGGCGGCATTGGGTTTTTTCTCTTTGATTCAGATATGTGATATTCTCCCGAATCGCTATTTACCTCTGGTTATGGGAGGTATTGAGGCTATATGGCCTTTCCAGGAATTTGAACATTTGATGTCTTTACTATGATGTGTTGGGAGCTTTGTTCTTTTTGATAAGTTGGGCATTTAGGTGTGAATTGCCTTGACACTTAAATTTGCTCCCTTTTGTGTTAGAGGTTGAAAACTATTTTTCTCCTTCCTTAGGGGCCTCTAGCACTCAGAGTTTGTTTTTGTTTGTAACCCATTTGTCCGGTAGTGCTCTTCCTTTCTCTTGTTCTCAATTTTTATAGCTATCGCATCTCCTCATGGATCTAACTGGGTATCATTTCTATCTGGCATAGCTCCTATCTTTGTAAGCCCCTAGATCAAGCATTGTAGTCATATCCTCTTCTCTAATTGTGCGTCTAGCCTGAATTCCTGTCTCTATGGTAGTTTTTTCCACTGGATTTGGTCCTTGAGTGGCCTATGAGCTTTGTTGAACTCTGTGAAATAATTAAGCCGGCGGGGAATGTTTTCTCATTCTCCTTATATCCTCAATGTTGAATTAGGGTTTCATCTACCACTTTTCTTTTTACTTATTTAAGTTGATTCCCACCCAAACGAGCATATCTTGGGACTCTAGGCTACAATTCTTACTTTCTTACTCCTCAAGTGTATCTGGGCCAAGTTATCTAACCTCCCACCAGTATTCATTCTGCGTTATTCCGCCTTTGGGGTGCATTGGTTGATGTACAAGTTTGATGTGGACTGGTTCGCCCTAATTCCCCCGAGGCTATTTTCTGTTGCACGCCTCACACCCTCTACCCTCTGTTTTGTTTCGGCTACTCTTGCAAAGCCCATTTCTTTCATCTTCTTATCATTCTTTCTTGCCACTTGTCTAGGTGCTTTGGAAGTGGTTGCCCTCCT